AGGGTGATCCTCTCATCTTATTTCTCTGTCTTTTAATGACTTACCATTCACAAACTCTGTTGTCAGACACTTTCTTTTTTTTTTTTTTAAAGAGAGAGAGAGAATTTTAATATTTATTTATTTATTTATTAGTTTTTCGGCAGACACAACATCTTTGTTTGTATGTGGTGCTGAGGATCGAACCCGGGCCGCACGCATGCCAGGCRAGCGCGCCACCGCTTGAGCCACATCCCCAGCCCTGTTGTCAGACACTTTCTATAGACAGATTTCACTTACTTGTCTCAACTGAGATTTTCTAATTTTTAAAAAATAATATGGGAGTTTAATTTCAGACATTTATATCTGAGAGATAGATAGATAGATAGAGATTATACAAWAATAGTTTCTTATCCACAGGGGTGTGCTAAGACCCTTTCCAGAGAATTCCTGAAACCACAGATGGTACTGGATCCTATATATCCTATATATCCTATAAAGGAGATATATATATCTCCTTTAAAAATTAGGCACAGGAAGAGGTTAACAGCAATAATAATAAAACAGAATAATTATAACAAGACACTGTAATTAACATTATGCAGACATGGTCTGTCTGTGTCATTTCACTATACTTACCTTTTTCTTCTTGACCATGGGTAACTGAAATGAAGCAAGTGAAACTGCAGACTGTGGGAACAGCTATGTGTTTAAATCTTTTAAATCTGATTTTTCAAAATTTCTAACAAAGTTTACAACCTCATTAACAATTATTATGCTTAGTCTTACATTTTGTTGGTTTTATTCTTCMTTACATTTTCTTATATAACAGATCTTCTCTTTTCTTGAATTCATTATTCTTGCTTTGAAAAGATCTTTACTCTAAAAAAAATTTTTTAATAAGGGGTATTTGAGGGATGTCATTTCTGTGTCTTCAAACATACCTTTATTTTGTCATCACATAAGAGGGAAATTAGAGTCAGGCAGCAGTTGAACTCTTGAGTTCAAATAACATTCCCTTGGAATTCTATAAAAACTCTGTCGGTGTCCCTGAGCAGAGTGTTGCAGACGAGAAGTAGGAGGTCAGTCTGTTTAATTTCCTTTTAAGCAGCCGGATTGTTCTCCCCTATGAGGAAGCTTGTGGTTGTTTGTCTTTGTTCTTGGAGTAGCAGACTGCATCAAGAAGTGTGTATTTGTTCAGTGATCCTGCTGCCCAGACAGGATATGATGCGAGCCCTGAGTTCTTTCTTTAGCTCAAGGGAATGGTCTTCTCTTGCTTCCTTGGTCATTGCTCTCCTCCTCATTGATGGTGTTGTCTCCATCTGGAACTCCTGTTGGAGTCATATTGGACGTTCTGGATCTCTCTGTTACATCTTTTTTTTWAATAAGAYTTTATTTACATATATTCATATATTTTATATGTATTCATATATATTCACACACATATATATAGTAGTTGGACATAATACCTTTATTTATTTATTTATTTTTATGTGGT